TAAGTGCCTTCTTTATAGCCTGTGTCTCTATATTACTTCAGCAAATTCAACACTTTACTCATCCCTCCTTACTAACAAAAAAAATTGTAGATAATTAGGATTTTGCATTTTTTGAAGCAATTTGGCTGGTTCCATCCCCACCCAATTGCACATGTGCATTTTATTTCAAAAGCTAAGTTGTGCTTGTCAAACTTTAATAACCTGAGAATTTTGTGAAAGCTTTTGATTGAGAAATTCAGTAGCTCTGGGGAAGCATTTTTGAAATATCTATTTTGTAATGGACTCCCAGGTGATGTTGTTTGATCACTTTTGGGTGTTCAAGCTGTACAAATCCCTAAATTTTACAGCTAAAGTTCCTTCAAAGTATCCTTGTGGTCACTGCTGAAGTTATGTCTGGTTACCTCCTCAGTCATCTTCAAGTGTTATTTGTTGAGTAGGAAGTGAATGTATAGGACATAATAAAATGTGTGTGATATAAAAATAAAAAAAGCAAACTAAATTATTTTAAAAATAATTTTAATAATACTCACTAATGTAGTATAAAACAGAGGTGTACAATGAAATAATTTATAAATAATACTTTAATGAGTTTATATTGACTATTATTCCAATTTGATTTTTTGTTTCCCATAAATCAAGTACTTGTGCATTTTATGTACAAACACACATATTTTGGTGAAATGAAAAGGCTGAATTCAGCTCATCAAACTTGTGTCTTAACAAAGAAGTACAATTATGCTATAAAAGAAAATATCCAAGACCATGTCTTCTTTAAAATATATACAAATCCAACCTAGTTGTGCAATATATACATTTACACTTACCTGTCAAAATAAATCAGGTACATATGAAATTATTTTTTATATTTACATAATGGCTTAATTTTCTTTCTTTAAAGTTCAAAGAAGTGGTTATCATTTTCACTTATTTCAAACTTCCATCCCATGTTTACCTCTTTTTAAGTTAGCCTTTCAAACTGATGAAAATGGACCTACTTTAAAATAGACATAAAGAGCACAGTTCTAAAGAAGTTAGGTATATATTTATTTCGAGTGTGCAAACTGAAATCAAGTTTTCTGTTAATAATCTTAACGGAAAATATTGTCATATATTGGGTTGCAGTTGGATTTATAGAATCCCTAGGTGGTGCAATTAAGCACCTAACTGCTTTGAACACACCTAGAGGTCTTTCAGAAGACAGTGTCCAAATGGTCACAGAACTCGGGAGTATTTCTGCTCTACTCCTGGGGTCGCCATGAGTCAGATTGACCTGAGGACAACTAATGACAGCAGTTGCTTATCAGAGTCGATAAATACATGAGGAAGTTGTAGCTCATGGGCATTTTTGATTGCCACTGTTTGATTGTGGTCAATGAGGTTTACTTTTCTTATGCTTCACAGTTTATATATGACACAATTTTGTGAAAACAATACGGCCAGCTAGAAATTATTTCTGTCCAGTTGGAAGTTGTCACTTTATTATTAAATCTGGTTACTGAATGAGTCATGCACAAGTTAAGATCTCACTGTACTTTCATCATCGCCACTATTTCACAAAGCATTTGCAGCAGCAGCTAAGTGTGGAGCAACTCAGAGTTCTGGTCACTTTCTGTAGACCTTGTCTATCTACCATTTATGAAATGGAAATCTTAACATTGTGTCTTTCAAGCCCCATAGTCTGTCTACTCTTGAAGCAAATATACACCTGACTAGGAATACATAACTCTGTTATTAGAAACAATATTTTTTTTTCTTTAATGATTGCCTGGATAAATATAGGGAGCTGTGGTGGCCTAGTGGTAAGAAACTGTGCTGCAATCCTGAAGACACACGGTTCAAATCTTATATCCACCTTTACTTAAAAGTGCTGAAGAAATATTCCTCACTGACGCCTCTGCTTCAAACTTGTGGACTGACATTAAGACCACCTATTTAGTCACTTTCCCCTAGTAGAGTGGTCCTCAACCTGGGGGATCTTGCGTCCTGTGGGGAATTGGGCAATGGTTGGAGACATGTTTGATTGTCACACCTGAGAGACCAGAGGTGGCACTCAACAGCCTGCAGTTCACAGAATAGCCCCTTCCCTTTCAGAAACAAGTACTGGGTCCAGAATACCAGCAGTGCCAAGGGACAGAAACCCTGCCCGGGGGTCTGCAGGGCTAGTGGTTCACTTTTCAGTCTTCAGTAACCCAGCTACTTCATGGAAACAGTGTCTGCAACACAGATTATCTAAACCGAGGCTTGGCAAGTCCCTCAAGCTAGTTGGGAATATGTGACTTCAGTTTATTGCTTTTGAAAGGAAAATAAAAAAGGACTAGCATACTGTAATTCACATTGAAGAAAACAATATGTGTAAAAACATAAATATATATTTATATAGTAGTTACGTGATTAATAAATATTCATTATCAATACTTGGTGTTATTTTTTTAATAACATTTTAATTGGCATGAAACCAGTTTGTAGCCATAAACTGTTGTAAGAATTGGGTTCTGGCACACTTAATGATGTAATACCATGCAATTTTTGCTATAAATCCCTGCTATTTTATGGCTATTTTTCTTGTTTGTTTGCTTTGCTTTGTCAAATACAAAAATCGGTCTTTAAACTATCCTGATAGCTTTGGGGCTTTTTGATATTAATGGCTAGTCTTGGGAGAGGTCAGAGCTCAAGCCATATCGATAATGTTTTCCTCTGACTTTCCAAAATCAGATTCTTGGAGGATATGCATTAAGAGAAATCCAGGTCATAGATTTTAAAGCTAGAAGCATCACTGTTGACCTCCAGTCCAGTATTCTCATTTTATGAGTGGTGGCACTGAATTTCACAGAGGTCAAGTGACTTGTCCAAAGCTGTAGGTGCAATGTTTCTGACATAAAATAGTCCCACTGCCTTTCTCTTGTCTCACCAGACTCTCCCAGAAAATAAGTTCAGAAACAGCAAAGACAGTGTAAAAACATGGCATAATGGTATTTCTCAAAGTGGGCCCTTTAGGCCAGAATGCCAGAGTATTTTGTTAACGTGTAAGAGGCCGGATCTTATTCTAAATCAAGAATTGCATGGGTGGGGACTGAGATACTCCTACCTTCTGAGTATGATTGACAGACAGCTCTAGAAATAGACACAGATGCCCTCTTTGGGGGGTTCTCAGTGCCTAGCAGGAATGTCATGCAGATTCCTGAGATGGCTGTACCTTGTTTACATGGCCTGAAATCCAACCATTAAGAATTCACTCCCGCTTACTTTCTTATTTGTTTAGCAATGAATGAAAATACCTCCCTGAAGTTAATGGGCTTCTACAGTTTATGGAAGCATGTGAATTAAACAGCAAACTTTTCCCTCCTACTACCTGGCAGAGAGCCCCTGGCCTGAGGGATGAAGATACAGATGAGAAGGAAAGGAGGGAGGTGGGCTTTGGACTAATGGGATGGAAGACAGGCTTCAGCAGCTTCTGCACAATGACAGGTGAGGCCCAGAAGCCCCATGGGTGCTCTCAGCTGCTAGGAAGGGTCTGCAGTTCCAACCTACCAGCAGCTCCATGGAGGGGAAGACCTGAGCCTGGCCAGCGCTACGGAGATGAAGCCCTTCCACTCTGTCCTAGGGGGCCACTGTGTGTTGGAACTGACTCAGAGGCACACAGCAGCAACAATAGTGGATGAGAAGGCACCCATGGTGAAAGTGGCTAAGTGCTACGCTACTGACTGGAAAGGTTGGTGGTTCCAGCCCACTCAGAGACACCTAGAATAAAAGAAAGGCCTTCAACTCACTTCTGAAAAAGCAGCCATTGAAAACCCAACGGCGTTTCCATCTGACACGCATGAGACAGCTGTTGATTGGAATCAGGAGCTGCCTTCGAGTTAGTAGAACAACTCCTTCAGACTACACCACCAGAGCTCCCTGTGTAAGGGAAGGGGAGCAGTGCCAAAAAAATCACTCTTTTAAACATTCACAGAGTCTTGCCAGCCAGCCGGCTGTGCATCCAAACGAGGAAGGCCACTTTCTCCTCCTCCTTTCTCTGGCACAGAATGCAGGTTTCAGCTTTGTGTCTTGGCCTCTTACATCCCCCTACTCCCATTTAAACAGGGATTTCCTTGGCAGGACACATATTGTAAACTCTGACCAGTTGTGCAAGTCTCTTCTGACAAGTGTATCAAAACCTAATGGTGGTGACTCTCAGGAGGCAGCTGTGGGCTGAAAGAACTCAAATGCAAATTTGCTCTAATTTAAAAATGAACACACACACACACAAAAAAAATGAACACAACACTTGAAAACTAAGCATTCCCTGCAAGCCACTCTCTGTGAGTAGCATACATGGAAGACTAGGCTGGCTTGGCCCTCCTGTTAATATCACTAGTCAATGAATTAGGTGGTTTTTTTTTGTTTTGTTTTTAGTTTTTATTATTTTGTGTGCGTGTACCGTCAAATCAGATCTGACTGGTACAGGAGGATATTGCGCCTCCTTTTCCGGCAGAGCGTCTGGTGGATTCGAACCGTGTTCCTCTGGGATTGCAGTACAGTTTCTTGTCACTAGGCCACCAGAGCTCCCCGAATTAGGTGTTTTTATTAGCTATCGCCACTGTGATTTTTCTATTTATAAGCAGTATCTTAAAAAACAAAACAAAAAAACAACACGACTGCTCGCCTCACTTTTCACCTCCAAAAATCCAAGAAAGTGTTAAGATTTTAAGACTTGTGCATTTCTTATTTCTGGCACAGTGTAAATTAGGATGTAAACTCTGGACCAGCCAGCTTAAAGAAGATCCCTCTTCCCACATATAAAAAGAAGGGTTTGGTTTTGGTTTTTACCCGTCCTACTCCTATCCCTTCCCAAAATGTCTTCATGTCCAACTGACCTGCAGTTTTCCCTTAAAAATAAAACCAGACTAGTTTACCTATTACATTACAAAATGCTGTGATTTAAAAGTAATCTATTTATGCAAATATTGATCCCTGGCTGCTTGTGACAGCTGGCGCTGCAGTCAGAAATGCTGAACAGTTCAGCTGTTGAGGTCTGTGGCCTCATCCATCTCATCTGGATTCTTGGTCATTTTCTCATATTTTCTTTTGAAGAAGCCAAGCTGTAAAGATAATGATGCAGACATGTTATTCATCTGTGATTTCTTTTACATGATGATTTTAACTTTTGTTGGCCCTTCAATGCAATCCCAATCCAGGTACCAAATTCATTTTTCAAGGAGATTGAAAGGGAAATTATAAAATGTATTTGGAGAGACAAGAGACCCTAAATAAGCAAAACACTTCTGAGAAACAAAAATGAGGTTGGAGGCACAGAACTCCCTGACCACAAAACAGCAATGGTAATCAAAACAGCATGGTACTGGTACAGTGACAGGTACATCGACCAATGGAACAGAATTGAGAACCCAGAAATATACCCAGCTATCTATGGTCAACTGATTTTCGACCAGGAAATCAAAGTTATAAAATGGGGAAATGGTAACCTCTTCAACAAATGGTGCTGGCAAAACGGAACTTCCACCTGCAGAAAGCTGAAACAGGATCTATATCTCATACCATAAACAAAAATCAACTCAAGGTGGATCAGAGACCTGGGAGTAAAGCCCCAAACCATAAAGTTCATAAGAGACAAGCTGGGATCAAGCTTAGAAGCACTAGTCCAAGGTATAAAGAGACTGCCAAATATAGCCAGAAATGCACAATCTGAAGAGGATAAAAATGGATGCATGGGACCTTCTAAGAATTAAATCTCTATGCATACCAAAACCTTTTTGCAACAGGGTGAAAAGAAAATCTACAGACTGGGAACAAACATTTGGTAATACCATCTCAAACAAGAGTCTTATAACAAAAGTTCACAGAATATTCTTGAGCCTCCTCAAGAAAAAGACTGATAACGCAATTACAAACTGGACAAAAGACATGGCAAGAATTTTCACAGAGGATGGTATTCAAATGGCAAACAGACAAATGAAGAAATGCTCCAAATCACTGGCAATAAGAGAGATGTAAATAAAAACTACAATGAAGTACCATCTCACTCCATTAAGAGTGGCAAAGTTTAACAGGGCAGCAAGTAACAGATGTTGGAGAGGATGTGGCGAGAAAGGACTCTTATACATTGTTGGTGGGACTGTAAAGTGGTACACTCATTCTGGAAGGCAGTTTGGCGCTTCCTTAAAAAGCTGAACATAGAAAGTCCATATGACCCAGCTATTCCACTACTTGGAATATACCCTGAGAAAATGAGAACTGAGGCACAAACAGATTTGTACACTAATGTTCATAGCAGCATTATTCACAATTGCAAGAAAGTGGAAATAGCTCAAATGTCCAACCACAAATTAATGGATTCAGAAATTATGGTACATTCACACAATGAAATACTATGCAGCCCATAGGAGCAATAACTTTGTAAATTATTACCTAACTTGAGAAGGACTGGAGAACATTGCTGAGTGAACTAACTCAGTCCCACAAGGATAAATATTGTATAAGACTGTTATTGCAGAACGAGTACAAGGATCCAGGAGGAGTGGGAGAGGCTGGAAGTAGAGGGATGTGGATTTACAGGGGGAAGAGGGGATTAATCAATGGGTTGTACAAGTTGATGGGAGGGGTGAGGGAAATGGAAATAATTTGTTCAAATTTGTATTCAAATTTTGAAAATAAACTAATAAAAAGAAAAAAGTCAGCTTGGGGAGCCAGATGGGAGGGAGAGGGGGGGAAATGTCCAACAATGAATGAATGAAAATCTAACTTTTCTGTAGACTTGTTAAAATGACAATTAAAAGAAAAATTTTCTTTAAAAAAACCCCCAAAACAATAAAACCTTTTGTTGGCCCTGAGGCAAAATGGTTGGCATACTCAGCTAATAACTGAGAGGTTGACGGTTTGCCTCCACTACAAGGTGCCTCAGAAGACAGACCTGGAGATGTACTTCTGAAAAGTCAGCCGTGAAAAGCCCTGAGGAGCACAGTTCAACTCACAGACATATGGTGGTCATGATGTCAAATAGACAGCATGGCACCTCTCAATTCACTGCCGCAAGGTGAGAATCCACTCAGTGTAGACCTTCCAGCAGGCTTCCAAGGCTGTGGTTTGTACAGAAGCAGACTGTTCATCTTTCTCTCACACAGTCATCGGAGGCTTTGGACCACCAGCAGCCTTTGGGTTAGAAGCGCTGCTCTCTATAGATGAGCCACAAAACCTTCCTGTATGGCACATGCTGGTATTTTAACCCCTTTGCTGCCAACTTTCCCTAAATCACCTTGGGGTTATATTTGGTGCGCTGCAGAGTGTGATGCAGAACCTGGTGTTGTTATGTATCATTGCACTGAACTGGTCACAGCTGATCCCTCAGTGAGATTTTACAGACAGTAAATCACACAGGAGGAGGTTGCCCATCTTTCTCCCCTGGAGCAGCTGCTGGATTTGAACTACATGCCTTTAGGTTGTGAGTGCAACTCCTTAGCACTAAGCCACCAGAGTTCCCCAGTATGGAAACTACTGAACTAGTATAATTCCTTTTAAAAAGAAAATTAATGTTCCAAGGGCTTAACTGAATTGCACAATCTTAGACTGTTCAGTCTATGTAAAGGCAACTGAGCAAAAACATTCAGAGGCTTGACTGAAAAGAAGGTTTTCAAAAGCAAAGTAGGTGAATGTCAGTCTGGAGGCCAAGGTGTGCCTGATTCAGACCATGGTATTTGCAATTACTTGTGATGCATCAGAAAGCTGGACCATGACTAGGGATGATACAAGAAGAATTGATGCCTTTGACCTGTGAGACTGGAGAAGAGTACTGAATATACCATGGATGGCTTAGAGAACAAATAGGTTGATCCTCGAAAGGGTGAACCAGGCTGCTCTTTGGGGGCAAGGATTCTGACGTTTCATCTGACTTACTTTGGACAGTTGCAAGGAGGGACCAGTCCTTGGAGAGGGATGTTATGCTTGGGAAGGTGGAGGGCTAGCACGAGAGAGGAAGACGCTTGATGAGATAAATTAATTCAGTGACTGAAGTAATGGGGGTAGGTGTGTCAGGGAAAAGAAGATTGGCACAAGATAGAACAGGATATAAGTCTGTTGTAAATTGGGTCTCTATGAGTTGCAAGTGACTCAACGGCACATAACAACAAGGCACCAAGACAAAAGAAAAAGAGATCTTGATTGACTAATTCAAGAATATGAATGAAGAAGTCTAAATAAATTGACATTTCTTTTCTCCTCAGGATAGAGGAAGTATATGATTCAAAACTTAAGAGTTGTTAAGATTTAAGATGCCTTCAGGAGTTCTCTATTTTTTAAAAAAATAAAATGCTTCTTACCTTCCATAAAACAGCAACCAGAGCTAAGAGCAAAAGGAGTCCAGCAATGACGCTTCCTACTATGACTCCGATCGGCACCTCGGCTTTTTCATCAGGCTTCATTATGGTAACAGGAATCTGTCAATATGTATTAACAATTGAGTTTTGGACAATTTTAGTATTGGACAAAAAGAGAAATGGTCCAAGTCTCTAACCTCAGAGCTGAAGTTCCCTATTTCCAGGAAGGTGCTATGATATTCTCATGATAACATCATCCAATGTAGCCGCTGCTGTTGTTGTTATTAGGTGCCACTGAGTCGAGTATGACTCATAGTAACCCTACGAACAAATGTCCTGTACCATCATCACACTTCCTGACTCACAAGAGCCCACTGCAGTAGTCATTCCACCTGGTTGAGGGCCTTCCTCTCCTTCACTGACCCTTCATCCTTCCCAACGTCATGTCCCTCTCCAAGGAATAGCCCCTCCTAGCAATATGTCCAAAGTATGTTAGGCAAAGCCTCATCATTCTTGTTTCCAAAGAGCACTCTGGCTGCACCATCTCCAAGAGATATCTATTCGTTTCCTTGGCTGTCCATGCAATGCTCAGTGTTCTTCTCCAACACCACAGCTCAAAGGCATCAATTCTTTTTTTATCATCCTTTATCATTTTCCAGGTCACAGATACATAACTAGTAATTGGAAAGACCATGGCCTGAATCAAACACACCTTCGTCCTCAAATTGACATCATACTCCTTAATAATTTGTAAAGGTTGCTAACTGCAGATTTTCCTGTCTGCTGGTACCAAGGGTGTTAATTGTGGATCCAAGCAAGATGAAGCTGTTGATAGTTTCAATCTCCTCTCAATTCATCATAACACTGCCTATTGGTCCAGTGGTAAGAATCTTTGTTTTCTTGATATTTAGACACAATCCATACTGAAGGCTGCATTCCTTGGTATTCTGCAACAACTGCTTCAAATCCTCCTCCCTATCAGCAAGCAAGGTGTGTCATCTGCATAACACAGGTTATTGATGAGTCTCCCTCCAATCCCGATACCATACTCCTCTTCATAGAGTCCAGCTTCTTGGATAATTTGCTCAGCAAATTGAACAGGAATGGAGACAGAATACATCCCTGTCGCACTCCATTCCCAATTCCAAACCATACAGTGCTCCCCTGTTTGTACAACAGCTTCCTTGTCCGGGTATAGGTTTCTCATGAGCACAATCAAGTGCTCTGGGATTCCCATTCTTCTCAATGTCAGCCACAACTTGTCATGATCCACACAGTCAAATGCCTTTGCATAGTCAATAAAGCACAAATAGACATTCTTCTGGTATTCCTTACTTTTAGCCAGGATCCATCTGACATCAGTAATGATATCCCTGGTGCTATGGCCTCTTCTAAATCCTGCTTGAACTTCAGGCAATTCCTTATTCATATACTGTTTCACTTGTTTTTGAATGATCTTCAGCAGTATTTTACTTGCATGTGATATCAATGATATTATTTAATAATTTCCACATTCAGTAGGATCACCCTTCTTGGGAATAGGAACAGATATAGACATTTTCCAATCCGTTGGCCTGACAGCTGTCCTCCAAATGTCCTGGCATAGATTGGTGAGCGCATCCAAGGCTACATCTGTTAATTGAAACACGTGAACTGGTATCCCATCGATTCCTGGGGCCTTATGTTTTGCCAGTACCTTCAATGCAGCTTCCACTTTCTCTTTCATTACCATTGGCTCCTGTTCATATGGTACTTCCTGAAATTTTTCAGTGTCAATTATTTCTGCTACAGTGATGCTGTATTCCCTTCATCTTTTTTTGCTGCTTTCTGGGTCATTCAATACATTCTTTATAGACTCTTTAAACATTGTGACACAAGGTCTAAATTTGTTTTTCAGTTCTTTCTGCTTGAGAAATGCAGAGTGAGTTCTTCACTTCTTATTCTCCAATTTAAGCTCTCTGCACATTTCATTATAGTACTTTCTTTTGTCCTCCCAAGCTTCCCTTTGAAACTGTTCAGCTCTTTACTTCTTTTTCACTTTTTTACATGTTTTCCTTTAGATATGGTTTCCTGACATTTCAGTGTAATCCTTAGAGTATCTTCTGACATCAATTACAGGTTTTTGTTTTTGTTTTTTTTCTTTTTTTTTTTCTCTCTCCTCTGCTTTTGTAATGACCTTTTGCTTTCTTCATGGATAATATCCTTGATATCATCCCACAATTCATCTGGTCTTTGATAACTGGTATTCAATGCCTCATGCCTATTCTTAAAATGGACATGAAATTCCAGTGGAATTGATTCAAGGTCGTATCTTGATTCCTGTGGACTTACTTTAATTTTCTTTGGCCTCAATTTGAACTTGCATATAAGTAATTGATGATCTGACCCACAATTCACCCTGGCCTAGTTTTGACTGCTGATATTAAGCTTCTCCAACAATTTCTTCCAAAAATTTACTCACTCTGATTCCTGTGCATCCCACTGGGTGAAATCCACATATAAACTCATCTTTTGTTTCTTTTAGAAAAAGTATTTGCAATGGATAAATCATTGTAAATATAAATTTCAATCATTCTATTTTCAGCCTCACTACTATCAACAAGCCTATATTTTCCAACTACTCTTCCTTCTTAATTGTTTTGTACTTTTGCATTCCAGTCACCAAGTATTAATGCATCCTGATTGCATGTTTGATCAATTTCAGACTGCAAAATTTGGTAAAAATTCTCAGTTTCTTCCTATTTGGCACTAGATATAGGAACATATACTTGAATAATAGTTGTTTACCAGGTCTTCCCTGTATGCATCTGGATATTATCCTATCACTAACAACATTGTATTTCTGGATGGAACTTGAAATTGATGGTTTGTTGTTTGTTTTTTTTTAAGTTTTTTTTTTTAATGGTGCAGCATTAAATGTTCCTGTGAGACCCAGTGAAGAAACAGTTGCTCTCTATTCCCTTCCTTAATTGTTTTCAGTGTTGAGTGCTGATGTCTTGTCTGCGAATCTCAGCTCTTTTAATTATTTATGAATGAGGAACTTCAGTTTTTGGCACACTCACTCTTCAAGTGAAAGCACGTGGGGGAAAAAAGTCAAAGAACAAAGAAACTAAAATCCCAAATCCCTAGTGATTTAACAGCAACAACAAATTTGTATGATATTGAACTTCTAAAAAATTGAATTTGCCTCTCATCGAAAAGTCTCTGTTAAGTGCCACCAATTTGACACTGATTAATAGAGACCCTATGAAAAGTGAACTGAAATGTTTCCTTGTGCTGCACCCTCTTCACAATCTCCACCACACTCAAGCCCATTATTGCAGTCACCGTGTCAGTCCATCTCTTTGGGGGTCTGCCTTTCTTTCTCTGACTTTCTCAGCATGATGAAAAAAGTACTTTATAGCAAATGTTGAAAATAAGTAGGTTCCAACTATTTTTTAAAACCTCTTGTGAGTTTTCAGAGGTAGTAAATTGAATAGGAGGAGAAGGCTCATTCTTCTCTTGCAGAGCAGCTGGTGGATTCAAACCGCATGCCTTTGAGATTGCAAAGCAGCTTCTTACCCATAAGCCACAAGAGTTCTCTCACAGCTATGAGTCAGTTCAGACTCCACAGCACACAACAACAACAACAAATGTTGGAAAAAATAGAACCAATAGATCAGGCCTCAAGGTAACCTTTTTTGGGTTAAAATTGTTCTGTAAAGCTACATATGATTGTCAACGCCCTGTACCCCACAATCTTGTGATACTTTATTAATTAATTCCATTGTAATTGAACAACCATCCTCATTGTTTTAACAGTAAAATTGTATGTTATAATTAAATTTTAATATTTTAAAATGTGGAAAGAATCTTAGTCATTTCCTTCTCAAAGAGTATTCTCCAATGAGCATTGTGAAGAAGAGAACAAGGGGATCTTATCTAAAAGACATAACGCTGGACAAAGTGGAAGATCAGAGAAAGAGAGTACTTAAGAAGACGGATTGACACAGTAATTGTACAGTGGACCAAGCATATCAGGAATGGTGAGGCTGGTGCCCAACAGGTTCAGATCTGTCTTTCATCGGGTCTCTAGGAGTCATGATTGACTTGATGACACCTAACAACATCTTACTGATTCACTTCATAGTGAATTATAACGGCAGAGGAGCTGTCCTTTGTCACTTAGTTTATAGATTGAGATAAATGTGATCTTTCTTTTGTAAGTGTATTGCTTCTCATTTATATTTTTACTTGAGGCTTTGACAATTTATAGACAGTAAATTCATGCAGTGCCCTCCTTAGTGGCAGTCATATCCCTGCTCTCTCTAGTCCAGGGCTTCTGAGTTTGGGATCCATAGATTTCTACAGATATATGTTCTTGTTACATACCAACTGACTGGAACAGACTCATACCTATGCCTGCAGTGGACTTTTGAGGCTGTAAATTGTTTGGGAGGAGAATGCCCATCCCTTTCCTGTGGAGCAGGTGGTGGATTTAAACCGAATGCCTTTGGGTTAGCAGTGTAACTCTGAAGCCTCCAGAACTCCATATAAAGATATGAATATGTTGGTTTTGTATATCAGCTTTTAGAGAGATTTTTCAGTTTACACTGGGATTCAAAACAATATTTTAAAAATTATTTAATTAGTATTTGAATTAGAAAAATAATGTTTTCATAGATGCAATTAATTGATAATCAGACTCTATAACATCAAGATTATACAGGAAAAAACCAAGGAAAAAATCTTCTAGAAGGTTAATTTGAAATTTCAAGCAATATGTTTATTTCATAACAATTTCTTTAAAAATGAAGAATTCAGCCAAGTTTTATCTGAACAATAACTAGAATGAGATTTTTTAAAAGTCTAGAGACCAATTCTTTCAAGTTAAGCCAATAGATAGCTCTTTGTATTTGAAGCTCACATTTTACTTTGACTCATTTCTGGATTTCCAAGCTCCAAAATCTGAACAGAATGCATTGGCCTTCACTGAGGCTCCTAAATCAGAGGCTTAACGGCTTTATTATGTTGAATCATTTCCCTGGGACAGGAGCTGGATGGTGACACCACGTGGTTTACTTGCTGGCACTGAGAGAGGCCCAGAGTTCACAGGGCCATTGGCTTTTGAGTGAAGCCCTTAGGCGGTAGCAGTGGACCGAGGCAAGCTGCCAACTTGACCTCTGGGTCAGAATCTTGAACTGGCTTCCAATCCCTCACAAAAGCACTGGAAGGACAATTTTCAGGGCTCTGCCAACAGATTAGCTGGACACGGAAATCCCACTTTATCTAAATACGGCAGAGTCTAACCAGAAGCTCAGTGCAAAGGAAAGTTGTTCCATGCCAGCCCTTGGAACAGAGAGCCTTTGTTTTCTCTGAAAGTATAGTGCTCTGCAAAAGCTTTTTATCAATGGGAGCATTTACAGTGTTCTAGAATGTCAGACCTTATTAATGGATGTTTTAAACAATGTCAGTGGCTAGTTGTAAGGAGTATTGCTAAAAATAAATAATAAAGACTGCCTTATTTACTAAAAGATGTTTCAGCACCATTCTTTATAAACAACAACAAAAATCATAAAATGCAACATATGTTTAAATAGGCATGATTAGATTTAGCAGCATATGATCTTTTATGTCATCACAAGGAGAAAGGAAGAAGTAGTGGAATCATGGGCAACCTGGAACCCCCACTGTTGTGTTTTTCATTGACTCCTTACTTCGAGGGAAAATAGCTTAGCCAACATGGGCAGAAGGATGCGTATATCACAGCATTTTGTTTGAATAGCAAACATCCCTTACCCAAAGTTCAACATGATAAATACTAGATTTTCATAATTTTGATAAAATGTTTTGACATAAATGCAAATAAAAAGAACTAGTGTAAGTTTTCAGAAATGGAATTGTCTATCACAGGCGCTAATCCCAGAAAGGAGGGAAGTCATGGACTCACCGTGACACTGTTTTCTTCAATCACGTATATCTGAGGGTTATAGGTGTCAATTTCTGCAGACGCTGTCAGTTGCACTGCCTGGAAAGTTGACTGGAACAAAAGAATGAAGACTGTATTTTATCCTGTTGTTGTTGTTAGGGGCTATTGAGTTGACTGTGGCCCACAGTGATCCAATAAATAGTAAATCAGTGCCTTGTCCTGCCCTGTGCCATCCTCCACCATCTCTCATACACTTGAGCCTGTTCTTACATTCACCATGTCAATCCACCTTGTTTAGGGTCTTCCTCTACTACACCGACTCTTCACCTTTCCAAGAACAATGTCCTTCTCCAAGGACTAGCACCTTCTAAAAACATGTACGAAATACGTGAGATGAAGCCTCAACATCCTTGCCTTGAAGAAGCACTCTGGTTGCACTTTCTCCAAGATATATTTATTCTTTCAGCAATCTATTGGATCCTCAGACAATGAGACATTTTATACCAGCAGATGTTAATGTGTAAAACTAGGCATGCTTATTGTTTATTTTCTGGTAGAAAACTAAGAGTCAGCACCAACTTTGAAGACCTTGAAGACTCAAGATTTCTTGTGTTTCCTGACTGTGATATGTCATTGGGTTGCACAAGATAAATTCCTGGAGAACTTTTAAAATTGTCACAGCAAATTAAATCAAATTTCTGAGGTGCTGGGGGTCATTCATTAGCTGTTAATTCATCTCCCTGGGTGGTTCTATTTTTAAAACAAAATTGAAATGTAAGAGTTTAAAATGGATCTGGTAGGTTTTTGTTTCTGGTGGATTTTTGTTGTTGTTTACTGTGAAAGATTACAGCCCTGATTTCTTAAAGTGTAAAGGAGTTTAACATTAAGGAAAATGTAAAAGCCAGTATTTTTATATACTTACCTGAATAAGCTATATAATGGACTTCTAAATCAATATTAAAAAGGGAAGACAACTTTCCTTCTGAAGATCCATGTGTAAAATCATACTGCTTAAAAGCAGATAGAGGAATATACATTTTAAGACAGGAGCAAGACAGTAACATAAGCAGTTGTATGCTTTCAAACCTCTGTCACAAACAAAAAACACAAGCAGAAGCTTATAGATTCAGTCACTCTATCAGAAGACTAGAAATTAGTTAAATGACTAGAGAAATGAAGCAGAATCTGAGCAAAGAAAATCAAACCACTGCTTTGGTTTTTCTACTGATTTGTGCCTTGCCCTCTCCTGAGCTTGGCACAGTCATGGCGAAGCAATAGTGATGGCTTGCAGACTCAGAGAGGGAGCCTGCTCTCTAACTCCTCCTGGGGAAGAGCAAGGTTTACAAACACAATACTGAGGCTTCCTGCTTTAAACTGTTTCAGGAATGCTTGAAAGACTGAAGCCAAGTATTCACTGCAGATAAGCCTTGCCTATCTTGGTGACTGCTTAGGGATAAGGAGTGGAAAACAAAGACCAAGGGCTGTGACTGTGTAAAGGTGGTGTAACACATGCCCTTATGGTATATAATATACTGCAAAGAAAGGCCAGAGAGTTTCTTTGAGAAATGGATACTTTCAAATAAATGTGTGTAAGGGGAAATCGAGAAAGTCATATATATCTGCAAGACAAGACATTCTTAGAAACAGTCTGAGAAGACCCCACGCTTGTACTCTGGAGTAATCCTTAGGTCCAGCGCAAACTGGGCTAAGTAATGGAGAAAGTGGACACTGGCACAGTGACGCCTTGGAAAGACTCAGAGATTATTTTTGTTTGTTCAATTTTATTTTCTGGTCTATTTTTGTTTTGTCCCACCCGTCTGAAGGGAGCTCTGGTGGAAAGAGTTGTGCTGTCAACCCAAAGTCAGGTGGTTCAAATACACCAGCTGCTTCCAGCAAGAAAGGTGGCACATAGCAACAATTCTCCTGGTGTTTAAGAAAATTTCTGCCAGAAGATTTCAAGAAAACACCCCAAAACACATACTCACAAAATTATTGCAGTTGAGTCAGAAAAGACTCCATCAGATTTTTAAAATTTGCATATCACACAGGAGGCGATGACCTACCTTGTCCACACGTACTCCCCAATGCAATCTTTACACAGGCAGAAAAAGTGACTAAGCCATTGTGTGACTGTAGAAAACTACAAACACACCCACCACCTCAAATAAAAGCAAAATCCCCAGGAAGGGTTCAATCTTACATAAGGGGTAAGAATCTGATTTCCAGAGTTAATACATTATGATAGTGAAATAAGCCCATTACAGCAACAATAACAAGAAGGAAATTAGCAGGACATACAAAGAAAAAGAAAAGAATAACCATTCAAAAAACAAAAAAAACAAAAGTAAGTGACTAAAGCTATTCCTGAGAAAGCAACAAAAATAAGCTTATCAGAAAAAAACTTTAAAACAACTGCATTCAATATACTCCAAGAGCTGCCTAAAAAAAGAACAAAGAACTAAAGAAGAATTTGAAAAAATGATACAGGAACAAAATGAGAATATCAATAAAGAATGAAAATTTTAAAAGGAGCCAAATAAATATTATTGCTATAAAATGTTTTAGTTGGGGGCAGGGGATAGAAAAAAAATCACTGGAGGTATTCAACAGTTGTTAATATGTGGAAGAAAAAAGAATCAGCAAATGTCATGATAAGCCAACTGAATTATCCAGACTTAGGAATACTTAAAAAAATACAATGAAAAGTGAACAGTCTTTAGGACTGGCAAGTCACATGCATGATGGAAGTCACAGAAGATGGACAGAAAGAACATAAAGAAGGATCACTTAGACAGTAAGAGCTAAACCTTCATAAATTTGGCAAAAGACATACATCCAAGAATCTCAATGGCCCTCAGGTAGTACACACTCAAAGAAACCTAGAATACATAAACTTATAATCAACTTTAAAAAACTAAAGAGTAAAAGAGAAGACACATGTGAATTGTTGCATATAATGATCCTCAATATGATCAAATATCATTTTCCCCAGTAACTATGAAAGTGACAAGACCCTGACATACTGGAAATGCTGGGGGAAAAAGAACTATAAACCAAGAATTCCATATATATGGGGAGAAGAGAGTAGGGAAAGAATGGCTAATTCAGGACAATTTGGAAAGAATGGACAATTAGAAATTATGTGTGTAACAATTAATAGCTTGGAACACAGCAAGTACTACAAAGGGAATTGAGGGAGGGGGAGCAAGGAAAATGTGCATAAATGAATAAATGAAAATCTCTTAGTGAAGGTTTGCAAATATATATGTATATTTATATACAAATATATAATACATAATATAAAACTCTATGTACGAACAGTGCTCAGGCTGTTCGTTCACAGGGTCGCTATGAGTCATATACGACTCGACGGTATTAAACAACAATAACAATGACGAAGACCAAGAGAGAACTACGTTGGCCTAAGGGAAAGGAAGCTGTGCTACCAAGCCGAAGGTGGTACAGCACTGGTCTGTGCGTTGCTGTACAGAGGTAACTCATGGTTGCTGTGATGCTGAAGCCTGTGACAGTGATGTGCCAGTTGTGGTAATGGGCACCCATGGTGGACAGTGTTGGCTGGAGCTTCCCGACTAAATCAAGCCTGGAAGCAGGAGCGGCATCCACTTCCAAAATGGCTTGCCTCCGGAAACTCCATGTACGAACAGTGCTCAGGCTGTTCGTTCATAGGGTCGCTATGAGTTGTCTACGACTCGACGGCATTAAACAACAACAACAACAGACAATATAATTATATTCTTCTTTTTTTTGTGTACTGCCGAGTCAGATCCGACCCATAGCTGACCCTCCAGTAGGTTTTCAGAGACAGTTAATCACATGGGAGGAGATTAGAACTATGTGACTTCAGGATTGAAGCACTGCTTCTTGTCACTAGGCCACCAGAGCTCCCTAAATAGATGTTGTGTGTTTTTTTAAAATATGTTTGCCACTTGTTTTTTTTTTTAAAAAAAAAACTTCATGTCTAGAAAAAACTGTCCTTTAAAAATAAGAGTGGACTTAAGGCATTTCTTAATTTAAAAATAAAAATAAATAAAATCTTTAGGAGTTCATTACCATAATACCCACACTATAAAAAATGCTAGTCTCTTGTCATGCCAATAATACCTGATCATATATTCCTTTTATACAGTTCTCTCCCTCATCTGTTTCAATGCTTTGTACATTATTTATCCCCTCTTTTCTTAGTTTCTTCGCAACCCCAATGTCAGTCCTGTTTTATAACTGGTATTATGTCTTTTTTGTGACTGTGATATTTCACTCAGCATAATGTCCTCCAAGATCACCCATTTTGTATAATAGTTCATACATACTTTGTTTTTCAGTGCTGCATAATATTCTATTGTGTGAATATACTACAGAACTACATAGTAAAGCAGTCTGGGAGAGGGGACTGTATAACAATGAAAGAACTGGGGGGCAGAGGGGGCAAAGAGAAAAATGTGCAACAATGAATGAATAGAAATTCAAGTTCTTTATAAATTTTTATAAAATCTCAATTAAAAAAATAAAGTGTAAAAAATCCAATGCATAAGAAATTAACAATATGGGAATGTAAAATGGCACAGCCACTAAGAAAGGCAGTCTGGTGCTTTCTCAAAAAGTTGGAAGTAGAAATATTATTTTACCCAGAATTCTACTACTGGTAATTATATATATATGAGTCAAGACTCAAACAGATATAGGCACACACATATTTACTGATGCATTATTTCCAAAGAGATATAAGCAACCCAAGTGCCCATCAAGAAGCAAATGGACAGAAAAACATTTTACTCATTAGAATATTCAATGAACTTGTAAAATATTACACAACATGGGAGGGGGGGGAGCCAGGAGGATAGTAAGCTGAGAGAAGAAATATCTCAGTCACAAAAGGACAAATACTGGGAGCTTTGGTGGCCTAATGGCAAGAAGCTGAACTGCAATCACAGTGGGATGTGGTTAAAATCCACCAGATGCTCTGCTGGAGAAGGAGGGGAAACCTCCTCCTGTACCAGATGGGTATGATTTGATGGTACACACACACAAAATAATAAAATTTAAAAACATTAAAAATAAAAGGACAAATACTGTATAACACTGCTGGTATAAAA